TCAGTATGGTCAGTAAGCATATAATTAGCTTTTGCGAGATTTTTAGGATCAGCATGTGTCTCATAGGCTATGGTACACATATCAGCAACAGTATTCATGGCAGTGGAATCTGGAAGGGTCAGGTGGTCTTGAGTAGTGAGGATATTTTCAGAAGTCTGAGAGCCAATGGCTTCGCTACAGGATGCCTCATTGTCGGCTGCAAACACAGAACTATCCAGCTCCACAGAGATTGCTGGGGCACTCACGCATCCTGGAGCTAGCAGAGGGATAGCTCCGTCGAACCCATTGTCTTTTATGATATCGATGGCTGTGTGGAATTCATCTGGTGGCTGCTGGAAGCATGACTGTGATTCAAGATGTACTAGCCGGCGCTTTATCTTCGCTTGACTGGCTCCAAACTCACCAATTAACCGAGCCAGCCTAGTGACTACCTGCTCAAGGGACTCATCGACGCGCCGGACGCGCTGCTCCAGAGACTCTTGTTTTTCACGGTCACCTGCAAGTGCCTCTTCGTCCAGGAGATTGTCCTTGCGTAGCATATCCTGACCACATTGCATCAGTTTCGCTTTTGCCTCAGGATACTCTGTCAACGCATCCCAAAGGTCGTCCTTGCTCAAACAGAAAAGGTCTGAGTAGCCTACTGAACGAACGTTGGCCGTCCGCCGATTCCCTGTCTTGTTTCCTTAGATCAACAAAAAGAAGGAAATCAAATAGATCCTATGCATAATTCGAGCCTACAACTCATATTCCATTGTATAGCAATTTAATGAATAATATGTTTGACCTTTTTTTCGCAACTTAGTCATATTGGTAGGAAGACTTAGAGGAATACACCCTGTCCTGAGTCCATTGTATGCATATTTATTTCCAAAGTCGGACCGTGGACGTGGTACATTCCTCGGTCCGACTTTGGAAATAAATATGCATACAATGGACTCAGGACAGGGTGCATTCCTCTAAGTCTTCCTACCAATATGACCAAGTTGCGAAAACAAGGTCAAACAACTTCT